ATAGCAGGGCTTCAGGCAGTCTGTGGATTCCCCAAAATTATGTGTAGGAATTTTTTTTGGCACACAGGCATATTTCTCTGGTGACCCATCCTACCTGTCATCAGATTCACAGACCGGTACCTAACCCCAAAGAGTTTACGAACTGCTGCTTTAGGGGATTCCCAGCACGAATGAGTTCAGCCTGCCTTGAGCCATGTGGAAATATGGCCAGGCTGCCTTCTTCAACTTGCTAATGGCTCTTTTTTACCTTCCAGTGTTGACCGTGCGGACCGCCATCCCCATTATCATGGGGGCCAACATTGGGACCTCAATCACGAACACCTTCGTGGCGCTCATGCAGGCAGGAGACCGGAGTGAGTTCAGACGGTAGGAAGCCCACAACCCGCCTTTGCTACCATCAGGCTCTTCCTTTGTGGTCATGTGTCATCACCACCCTTAAGTAGCCAATGAGAACATGCTTGTCAGGCTCATTGCTGGAGCTCCCAGAGGTAGTTACTGGGGAGTACAGCAGGGCCGGGGCTCACATATTTAACAGCTCCATGACCCTCACAGTGGGGATGATAATAATAGTATCCATCACTATCGTGCTGTCTTAAGGATTAAACACAACTGTGCAGGTAAGTGTGTAGCACTTACCTGGCTCGTAGTCAGGGCTCACTAAATGCGAGCTCTAGCTAGGAACTTACCTGTTGCATGGTTGAGTTGAAACTAAGTCACTGAGTCATGGGTAATTATAACTTCCTAAAACTTCCATTTTTGGACAGCTCAGCCTGTGCCAATTTTTCTTTGTTGCTACAAGGCCAAACGTACTTTTCGTGGATGCATAATATCTGAAAATAGAATGGGTTAAATATAGGCAAAGGGAACCCGTTTCTTCCAAAAAATTTAACATGAAAATTAAGCACATGTTCCAGCCTCTCCTCTGACTGGTGATGGGCTTTTACTAGAGCTTATTAAAACATGGAAGCAGTTCCCAGCTTGCCTATGTGATGCAGTCACCATGAGGGTCAGGCAGATGGTGTTAAAATAGGCTGGTTGGGGAGACAGCAGATGTCACCCATTGATGAGCTGGCAGATTGGTGGATGTCCTCAGAGCTGTTCATCTCCCCTAAGCCACCTCCTTTGGTCCCTGATAAGATGTCCTCATGGTCACAATAAGAATACCCATTATATAGGGCGTTTGCTAATTTGATCTTCTCAAGAAGCCAAGTAGGCTTTTTAATACCCCATTGTATTAATGTAGAAACTCAAAGAAGTTAAATAACTTCATGCAGAGGCATAGCTGGAATTCAATCCAAGTTTCCTTATTCCAGATTTTGGGTTCTTTTCATTGTTTCACTCATTTTTGTCTCAGGATAGCCTATGAAATATAAGCAATAAGACCCTTGAAGGTGCTCGTATATAGGAATGTAATTAATTTAGCTCATCCCTATTTGGGATATTTAAACATGCTTTCAATACCATCTGTGGAGGTATGTATTTTTCACTTCTGATGGTTTGGATTATCTTCTTGAGTCGATTCCTAGAACAATAATTATTGTACCAAACATCTATAAGGCTCTAAAAACATTTTGCCAAACTACTAAAAAATATTTGTTATCACTGTATACTACATCATCAGAATATAAAAGTCTCTTAAACTACCCTCTCCGGGAAGAATAAGAATACTTTCAAAAGTATTAGTTAATATAAAAGTGCAAATTTGCACTTGCAAATAAATAAATAAATTGCAAATAAATTTCTTTCACTAGTGAAGTTAAGCATTTCCCCCCACGTGTGTATTAGTTTCTCCTATCTGTTCATGTCCCATGTTCCATTTGGTTTGGAGTGTTTTTGACATGTGGATGTTTTTTTAAAGAAAAGCTTCTTTTACATTTTAGGAAAAAAAATGTAAAAGCAGAGTTTCTTAATCTGGAGATAGGATGGGATTCGTGGGAATCTTTGAACCTCCTCATATAGATGCAAAGTGCGGTATACATTAGCCTTGTTTCCTGTGGAGACTGTTCCTATTTCATCAGATTCTCAAGAACTTAAGAAAAAAGGTTAAGAATTCACTTGCATCGATGGCTTTAATGGTTACTTTCAAACTGGTTCCCACCTTCCCAGAGAAAGGTTGCCTTCAATATACATGACTCAAAAGGCATCTCGATGCGATTCTCCCACACAGCAGCTGCTGAGCTAGTGATTCCAGCCACAACGTGCTTGTTGGCCCTCAATTCCTCATCTGTTGGATGGAATATTGATACCACCCCCTTGGGGGATTGCTGTGAGAGAGAACAAAAGCGAGACTGCACACATGTGTGTACACGCATAGCTGATACCTGGCAGATGGTGGCAGATGACACAAGTAATGGCCCAGCTCGCCTGGTGCCCGCTCACTCGTTGACTAAGCTGGCTGCTGGGTTCCCCTCCTGCAGGGCTTTTGCGGGGGCCACCATCCATGACTTCTTCAACTGGCTCTCCGTGTTGGTCCTCTTACCCCTGGAGGCAGCCACCCATTACCTGGAGATCCTGACCAACGTCGTGCTGGAGACTTTCAACTTCAAGAGTGGAGAAGATGCCCCGGCACTTCTGAAAGTCATCACAGACCCCTTCACAACGCTCATTATCCAGGTAACCTGGCTCCTTCGGGCAGAGAAAGGGACTAGATCTGTCCCCACTCCATCCCCCACCCCACGGAGCCCATACACTCACTGTACAGATTAGTCTCTGAACACTAATCTGGCTGCTTCTGGGAAAGGCCAAGGGAGGCAGAACTTTAACGACACTGGGCAGAGTAATTGGCCTTGCCTGTTTCCTTGACTTCAGTGTATGTGTCATCTTTATTGGGATAGGGGTGCTTCTTAGGAATGAATACTTGAGACCACTTTATTCTCACTACTGTCTTCAACACCAGTGGGCTTACTGATGATGAAGTATTATCTCTATCTTAGCCCAACGGGAAGGTTACTGCCCTTTCCTGCCAGGAGCCATCTCGCCCTCTGCTCACTGGGTCTGTCCACATAACTGAAATGAAAGAAGGCTTTGTGGATGTTGCCTTGGAGAGAAAAGACCAGCTGGGACCATGGGCTCTCACTTTTACCTTCAGGGTTTCTCAGCCATTCAGTCATCCAGCGCCTGCTTCCGAGATACCAGGGCTTTTGTTTGTACAATCATTTATTTGTCAAGCACCTGCTAACATCTGGGTAGTGTGCTCCACCCTGGGAGTGCAGGTGGGCTGAGTCCCAATGCACTTCTGCAGGTGCTCACAGCCCTGTGCATCTCCTCAAAGCCCCTCTAACAGCAGCCCCTACCTTTCTGTCCCAAATCAGTTCCGAGGACATGCTGACTGTCTAAATTTCTTTCCTTAGCTGGATAAAACAGTGATCAACCAAATTGCAATGAAAGATGAAGCAGCCCAAAACAAGAGTCTGATCAAAATTTGGTGTGAAACTTTTACTAACGTGGTAAGTTTCCAAGAATATACTGCTGGGTGGGTGAACCTTTACATCTGAACTTTAAGCAATATCTTTCTTCCAAGGTGGTCAATTAAAAAGTCAGGGTAAAGAAAAATTGGGAACTCCTGAAAAATCAAAACTGGCCAGTGAGGTTCCTTTAGGAAACAAGTCCTTGAATGTTAGATGGGCTTAAGCAGTAGGACAGACAAACTCCCTTTTGCCCCATCGCACACCATGGATACACTATTCCTGGATTGTCTGTATCTTCATGTCTCAGAGGAGGCCTACCTCTGACTGCCTCTCTATCCCGATTTTTGGAGGGTCTCCTGGAAACAGTCCATCTCACTCTATAGGTGCTGGCAGCAGGTGGCATCTCTCACACTTTCCAGACTCTTCCAGAGCATTCCTCCTTGGAATGCCCACAGCATTCTTGCATTCCTACATCAGGGAACTTACCCATGCTTCTTTGCAGTAGGGTTGTAGCTTACTCTTGCTTCTAGGGTGTATATGTTTTTGTTTTTGTGGGGTGCTAAAGGCTGCAGACTAAATGCAAAAATTAGATGTTTTTAAATGATGAAGGCTGATTTTATTTGTCCAGAGTTGTTCCAAGAGCTTTTCCCATAAAGATGAATAAATAATAAGTCCTCCAGAGATAAAAGAAAGTTTATGACGGAGTTACTGCACACACCAGTGAATATGGTATCTCGTCCCTGCTCCCCCTGTTCCCCTCCATCCCCCACCAAAAGCGAGTGTAGTGACATTGTTATGTTTGTCATCCAGACTCAGATGAATGTCACTGTCCCCTCGCCTGACAACTGCACCTCCCCTTCCCGCTGTTGGACAGACGGTGTATACACCTGGACCATCATGAATGAGACCTACGTGGAGAACATTGCTAAATGTGAATGGAACTTAAATTGGTCACCAGGGCGGGCTGTCTGGGGTGCTGATGGGTGTTTCTTATCTGAGTGGAGCCCCAGGAAGTGAAGGAAGGAGGGAAGGAAGGGCAGTAAGATTTACTGAGAACCCCCCCTCCACCCAGCATGGAGCAATGTGCTTTCAAAGCAGAGGATACTAAGGCTTTGAGACTGAGGTGACAAGCCACAGATCCCATGGCAGCTCCATGTCACTTCCCATAATTCATCAACAGATTTCAGAGTGTTCCCTCTATGTGCCTCAGTATCCCTTTGTCAATAACTCTGGGGAGATGACAGCAGATTTGAAGGAAGATGTGGGGCCCATATAGAACAGATATATTTACCCAGCGAGATCCTACTGTACAGCAGACCCCATTCAAGGCACTGGGGCTGTAGCAGTGAACAAGGCAATGAGCCTATGTGATGCTCTGATTCTTTTAAGAAGCTGTAATGTTGCCCCTGGAATCTTTACCAACCCGGACATCCTTAGTTCTTCTAATTATTCCTTATATACCCTTTTATATATCTCTGCTTCTCTCTTCCCTCCCCCCTCCCCTGACATTAATTCTGAGCAGTACACACCTTGATAATCCAGATGTGATTGACCCCACAGAATCAAGTAAACTTATCACCTCCCATGTTCTAGGTGCTATACATCCATTGATATAACCATGGTTTGCTGGAATTATCATGGGGACACACTGGGTCTTTGAAAAACAAGAGGTTTTACAATTAGCAATACCCCCTATTCCGACTTGCCCATCCTACCACTCAAACACGTTGTTGTAAGTATCATGAGTAAAAAACACCATGGGATTTAGAAGTAGAAGAACTGGTTGAAGGCCTAGGTCTGCCCCTGATGAGCTGTATGGCTTTAAGGGCAGGTTTTCTAGCCTCATGAGAGCCCACTGGCCTGAACATAGTCTCAGGGCTACACTTAGCTGCAAAGGAGGCCAGAAGGGGTGGTCTTTACTCTGGGCCACCATGTGTTGAGCTAACAACCAAGATTCTGGTACTGTGATAGAGAAGGATTCTGTGGCTGTGGTGGCTCCAGACCCTCCTGACAGGCCTTCTGTGATCTCTTCAGGCCAGCACATCTTCGCGAATTCCAGCCTCTCAGATCTGAGTGTGGGCCTCATCCTGCTTTTTTCCTCCCTGCTGGTTCTCTGCGGCTGCCTGATCATGATTGTCAAGCTCCTGGAAACTGTGCTCAGGGGGCAGGTTGCTGTTATCATCAAGAAGACCCTCAACACTGGTAGGTGCACTGCCCCCATTCCGGGCCTTCTACAGGATGGCATCACCGTGGCCACCCCAGGGAGCTCCTTCAGATATCCACCTAAAAATGGCCTCTGTGTGGAGTTTCTTTCTCGGATCTTATCGGCTGCAGAAGTTGAGTTATTGTCTGCTCTGCAAATTTTATTTGGTGTCCTGCGTAGGGTCTGAGAAGCAGCCAGCTCAAATGCAGCGAGCTGGAGTTAGGTCGGAAGGTTATCCTGGCAGGTTTTCCGTATACCCGGGACTTTACTGGGTCCGTCAGGACCGCTTAGGAAAATGGTAACAACTGTCCACCCTTGTCCCTGCTTCCCTTCACTATTGGGAAGAAAACGTGGCTCCGGACAGACACATCAGCATCCTACGGTAGCCAAGGAGACGCCACTGGCCAAGAGGAGCTCCTGCTGTACATGATGTCCTGTCCAATGGGAGCCTGCCAAGGCAGTGACATCACCACCCAGCCAAATCTGCCTCTGCAGGGCTTCATGAGGATGAACTGAGTGACTGTGGTGCTTGCCGAGCGTGCAGGGCCTGGTCCGGTGCCTGTGGGGGTGCAGGCCTGGGTTTGTAGGGTTGTTCCAAGCTGCTGTGTTTACTCAATGTTCCTTTAGGTGGAAACTAAGGTGGAAGGTGTGCAGTGACAGGACACCAGGACGGGGGGGGGGGGGGGG